CAATTAAAAATTTAAAACATCATTGTTTTTTTTTTTACAATTTAACCTAAAATTGCCAAAAATTCTGACATTGTGGAGCATTTCAAGATCAGATTCGTTTTCAAAAAAGTTTACAAGAAGCTGTACCTCGCGAACCTGTGTAACGTACAATTTTGTCAACAGTTTCTTTCTAGTTTTTATAATTGTGGCAGCTCTGTTAAAAATTTAGTTTGCACTTATTTTTAAATCTCTTTTAATGGACATATCCATCTGCATATAAGATTAAATTACGATTTAAGTTAAATATATGTATGTATGCATCCAGAAAATATCATATCGAATGAAATGGACAGACAATAGACCTGCCTGATTCTTGAATTTGGATTGCGAACTTTACAATCACCACCACACCATGGCTTGTAAAATTCAAATAAGCACACCTAAAGAAACATTCATAGCGGTGGAAGTCCAACAGCGCCATCTACCGCTCAGCAGCACAACTTTCTGTGGTTGCTGTACATTACACCGGCAGCTTTGCTAAGCGCTTTTCAAATGGTGGAGATAAAACATGTTGTAGAGAAATAAAGCTTTAGTTAACGTTTTTTTTTTTTGTTTGCAATAATGCCATTTAGACCGAACACGAAATCATTTGATGTATATATGTATTTCGATTTTTTTGCAAAACTGAAGATTTGCTGCAAAACTGCATACGTACTAAAAAGAGATTAAGGAGTGCACAATTTTCATAAGAATTTCCATAAAGTTTGGAATTCCGATTTTTAGAGTTTTTAATGCTACAAATTATCCATAATTTTATATAGTTATTTTAAATAGGCTTCCCTGAGGAGCTCTTTATTCGGAAGAGAAAGAGAGGCAGATCATTGAATTCTTTGGTCTTTGCTCTCTTAAGTTAGAAAGGTGGGAGGTATCAAGCCCCATTACATTATTTTACCAGCCTCTAATTTAAATTTCTTTAAAATTCTATAGATTTTCTAAGGTAAACCGTACATCAATATGCATCAATTAGGAAAAATCGAATATCGACTCCCAACTTTTTTGAATAAATTCACGGAACTAAAAAAAAATCGAATCGGAAGGGCTGGATTAATCGATATTCGATTTAAACGATTTTAATGCGGCATCTCTATACCACAATTAACAACTTTTTTTGTTGCCGTCGGCCGCTGAGGTGTAGTGGTTAGCAGTTCACACCAACATTAAAAAATAAAAAAATTAAATTTTTTTTAATACAGACGCCCCTCGGCAGGCAATGGCAACCACCGAGTGTATTTCTGCTACGAAAAACAGCTTCTCATAAAAATATAATCGCCGTTCGGAGTCGGCGTAAAACTATAGGTCACTCCCCTCGTCCAAATACTAGCATATGTGTAAGCGCCAATCTATTATTATTATTAATTCAACTTTTAACGAAAGCCATTGGCTCTCTTGGCAAAAAATTTACGCCATTCCTTTTAAGCGTGATCAGACCACAAAAATTTGGTTCTTTATATAAGTGCAAGGATTAGAGTAATGCCCGAAGCAAGTATTCCTTCACATATAAGGTGATTCAATAAGACCGAAGATGTTCGTAATAGGGTATCGGTTCATACGTTGTGTGACAAGTGACCCGTCCTGTTGAAACAACATATTGTCCAAGTCCATCTCATCTAATTCACGTTCACCGTTCACAGCGTAACATCGTTATCGGCATCAGAAGATGTACGGTCTGATGACTTCGCCAGCCCAAAAACTAATCCAAACAGTGGGTCGTTGTAGGTGCTTAGCTTTTTCTTGCAGTGGTTGCAGTTTTGCTAGTTAACGTATCGTCGCCTGAACAAAAGATTGTCGTAAGCGCCATTTTGATGATTTTTAATAATAGATGCAGTTGTATATATATTTTTAAATAAGATCTTTCGACTGGTGTTACCGCTATTTGGATATTTCCTTTAGTTTCCGAAATATGTACGCTGCCGGCAAAAAAATTGGCACAGCAAATTTTTCACAATATATGCAACAATTTTTATTCAAAAAATTTTCCGCCAATTTTTTCTTAAAATATTGTTCATTCTACAACAAAAAACATAAAAATATAATTCCTAAACTTTGTGCAAAACTCACAAAAACTGAACAAATTTTCCCGCACATTTTCAACTTTTTAATCAGATTTTTTAGAATTTGTTTGAGTATGCAGATTTGTAGCCCAATCAATTTCATTATAATAAAGTACAAGGTTAAAGTAGCTAGGAATTACCGTTGATTTTTGGCAATTTTTTTCTTCCATACAAAAAAAAAATTCGAAAATACTTTATATGGAAAAATGCAAAACAAAAACAAATCACAAAAATCAATGCGATTTTTGACTAACTCTAAACTTGCAAAACTGCATACTCAAATAAATTCTAAAAATTCTGGTTAAAAAGTTGAAAATTTGTTGAATTTTCGCGAGTTTTGCACAAAGTTTAGGAATTATATTTTTTATATTATATGTTTTCTGTTGTAGAATGAACCATATTTTTATAAAAAACTGGCGGAAAAATATTAAAATATTAAATTGTTGCACATATTGTGAAAAATTTTCTGTGCCAATACTTTTAGCCGGCAGTGTATGAAAATGTATAGCTCTTTAAATCAAATTTATTTTGATGAATAAGGCCATACAATTTTACCGGCAATTTAGAACAACTGAGTTATAATGCTTACTAAACAAAACAAGATCTTTCAAATGGCTTTGTCAATTTTTGGACATCTCCTTTCGTTAAAACTACCTCACATCAACTTACACATACTCACTACGCCTACGAGGAAGGTGTTTCAGTTGTTCTCTAAGAATTGTGTAATTTTACATATCTGTATATTTATTTTTCTTGCATACAAGCGCCTATTGCAGCGAATTAGTAATGTGAGTAATTTTTATTTTTTTTTACACAAAATCGCAATCTTCTAACGATTAAGTGATTAAATGTCACAAATACTCACACTTCTACTCGTAACAGCATTATTGCATTACTTTTATATTTGTTGTCTTATTTGTTTTTGTATCTTTGTCATATGTTCGTTTGTTGCCAGTTGGGATTTTTTGTGTCAAATGTAAATATGTAAATATGTGCACACCACAAAAAAAGTAAACAATGAATGGAGTATTATCTATTTCTCTCCATGTATGTATGTACACTTCGTGTCAAACTTTTAAGCGCACCAAATACATATTGACAACAATTTATTTTTCTGCTATTTAATTTTAGTCGTCTTTTTTATAAAAACTTAGTTAATCCTTTAACAAAACCCGTATAAATTCCAAACCATGTATATATGTATGTAAGTACATATTTGTAGAAAAATTTAACAAAATTTCACAACAAAATTCTAAGTACGCAGATTTATACGCCATTGAGCTCTATCATAATAAAGTGCAAGCCACTTAGCTTAGAATTCGCCTTGATTTTTGATATTTTTTTTTTGCTGACGGTGTCATGCATTTTCTTTCAGTAGGTATGTTTGACATTCTTTGTTTGGTATGGAAGAAAATAATAACGCCATCGGCAAAAAAAAAACTATCAAAAATCAACACGAATTTTTAGCCACTTGAAACTTGTACTTTTAAAACTGCATACTTAGAATCTTTCTTTAATTCTTGATAAAAATTTTGTTGTTGCTGTAAAAATTTGTACAATTTTTCAAATGTTTCTACACTTACGTATATGGTTTTTGTATTTTAATAAAAAATAATAATAAACACTAAATAAACGAAAGAAAAATAGCTAAAACTGGCCAAAAAATTGTGTCGCTATTATTTTTCACTTGACTGTTTGTATTAATCAAAGAAGTAAAAACGGCATTATCATAGTAAAGAAAAAATGCAATTTTTTGTAAAAGTGACGGCAAATCAATTTCATATTCTAATGAAATTCTTATCATTCGTACGTACATACATATGTATGCATATGCAGGTGGTTTACTGTAAGTGCCTATCATGAGCGGCATATACACATATGTACTATGTACTACGTACGTACATACATATATTCATATATTTTTGTGTATGTGTAATAAAATGACCCTACTCCACGTAAATTTATTTTATTTCACTTTATTTATTTTTCAACTTAATATTTTTTTAATGTTTTTTCTTTTATTGAATACATCAAGATTTTTATTATTCTTTTAATTAAGCAAAAATTTAATACTCCGAATTTTAAATTATTTGTATCTAATTTATTTAGTTTTTATATTTTTTTTTTATTTTACTTTTATTTTCTTATATCACTTTTTTATTAAATTATTATTTTTTTATTATACTTTTTTTTGTCATTTCCTGGTTTAATAACAATTTATGTTTTTCCTTTAATTATTTTTTCTTTTATTTTATTTCTTTCTTTCTTTGAAATTTTGTTAAATTTTTTCTGTTTTAATTTTTGTGTTTTTTTTTTAACTTAATACATTTTTGAATTATTTAATGTTTTTATATTCTTTTTGTTTTTTTTTTTTTATTTTATTTTTATCACATACATATGTGCATACTAGGCTTTTATAAATATTTTTTTGTTATGTCATGATTTTCATACTTTTTATTTTACGTTTGGTAAATTTTATTTTATTTTTGGTGCAACCACTTTATGCACACTGGAATCAGGGAGTAGTAGGTACATTTACACAAACTACATACAGACATACTCTCAGCACGCTCTCGAACGCTCTTCACTCCTAAAACTTAAAAAATAATTAAGCGCCCATACCCGAAATTTCCCATATGCATATCTGACGCTCCAAAGCAAGCGCGCACCGCTTTCCAAAACCCTTTTTCCGTTACATATTCGCTCCCATCGATTAACCGCACCCAGTCACTCTCATTTCTGTCGCCCACCACCCCGGCGCTCTTGCTAACGCCACAAACCAGCTACCATCAAGCGCCGTTCTCCCTATCACGACGATTATTTTACCGGTTCTATTCTTTGTACGCCAGCAGCAAAGCGTCGCGCCACTCAGTACTTTAAAATCGCACGCCTTTTACTTGCCGGCCACTGCTGCGCGCTCTACGCGGCCGTATTTAAGCGCTGAGCGCACCATTCTACCTTCGTAGTCTGTTCAGAAACACTCGTAGGTTCAGCTGTGCAGTAGCAAGAGGCTTCAGAAGATTCGGTTAAAGTGCGTTTATTTAATTCAATAAAATTTCTTAATTTTGTTTTATTGAAGAGATCTGAGTAATTTTTGTTTCATTTTTTTAACGGTTTTTAGTTGAAACATTTTTTAAAGCAAATTAAGTGAACATATTTCAAAAAGTTTGGATTTAAGGTAAGAAAGCTGAGTAGAACACAAAAATTAACATTTTTGGAAAATGCTGTTACTGCTGGTGTGATGAACTGCTTTTGGAGAATTAATGAAAACTATCAAACTTTTAAAAAAGGCTCAAACGCTTTTTGCACTTCAATTTGAAAAGTACAAAGAAATTTTTAAAAAGTGTGCAATGATGTAATATTACAATCCGAGTTATTTATTTATTTTTTTGCGAATTTATTTTTAAGTTTTCGAAATCGAAAAAATCTTCGAAATAAAATAAAACTATCTACATATGTTTAAAAAACAACAATATGCATTAAAACAATGAAATAAAGACGTTGTCAGCGAGTTAACAAGTGCATATGTATGAGTGTGAATGCGCACTCATTTGAAATTGATGTCAATTCGAAATTTATAAAAAGCTTACTTACACACCAACTATTCGTGAACAAAAAAAGTGTTTGTGTAAAATGAAATTTCGATAATCGAAAGCAATTTCGATTCTAATGAGCCGACGAACCATTAAAAAAAGAAGAAGACAATGAAATTCGATTGAGGTAGCCAGAGGTTGCAAAGGTAGCTGGCAGATTGAAAGTGGTTGCACGCATATTTGTGCAGTGGGCGCGTGAACGCGAAACGAGTGCAATCGCAAAACTGTTTCAGGGACAAGACGAGTAAGTTCAATATTTTTTTTTGAAAAAAGGAAAACTGAAGTAATGTAAAGAATTAGAGTAACTTTCTAATTAAAAATGGTGCGCTGAAGATAGTGATTTAATAGTATTTTTAACCACATTAAAAGTGGGTCTTAAAAATGGGTTAGAATATGATTTTTCTTTATCTGATTGTTTCTGTGAAAAAAATTATGATTATACAATATTTCAAGCGAGTGAATTTGCTGATAGAAGCTGTTATCTATGGCCGACCTACTTACAACGTAATATTGATAATTTTAGTTTAATTCAAATCCTCAAAACTGTACTCTCCGCAAATCATATTTTTTTTTTTAATTTTACCTGATATATGTGAAAAAAGTAAGGTGAAAGCTAATCTAAAATAATTTAAATCTAATTTTAGATAATATATTTTCATTTTGGGGCAGATATACACTGAAAGAAATCGAAAAAAACTCAAATGATTTTGTGATTATTTTCTGAGTATATTAAAAAAATATTTTCTCAATTTTTTTTCACTAAAAAAGAGGTGTGTCTTATAGAGTCGACATTGTTTTTATACGATAGTACGAAGTATTTTAGTTACTCGTGGAATGTTACATAATCAATAGTTTCTTTATGCCATGCTATTTTATTTTTAAAATGAAATCGTTGATATTTTAGAGGTAAAGCAATTCGATGCTCTCAAGTTAAATTTTTTTACAAAGCCTGTATTATAATTTTATGGATAGTTCAGAAAAAACTGGGCCTACACCAGTGACTATCTAATTAATTAAACTTTGGTGAAAGATATTTTTTAACCCTGAAATCTCGTAGACTTCTTACACTTAAACACTAAAACCGTTTGTTGATTCGCCAGCCAAATGCCTCTATTTTCCGAAGCTTCGCCAGTTATTCCCACCAATTGCCCGCAGACCCTTTGCACTTGGGCCTTACATTCTGCTTTTGGGCCCCCTTTGTCAATTGTTGCTGCATTTGGCATACAAACTTTGCAAAGAGTAAAACTTGGATAGAAGAGTTCACGCGAAGGCCCAAGAGATAAGTCTCTGTTGGCAAGAATAATTCTTCATATGCTAATGCTGGTTACTAGGTAAACTAAGTGTCAATAGTCAAATGGTGGGTACCAAACCCAACCATCGTTCCAGCGTTGTGAAGGTGTCGAGATATAGATATATAGAGAGTCACTTCTTCCAAGGCAGAAGTTTGCTTGCAGTCGAATTGAAAATCTCGCTTGATGCTGAGCGTCTTTGCGAAACATGCAAGAGGTGAAAGTATCAGCTTGCAGCTTACTAAAGTAAATGAAAAGGTCAAAAGAGTGAAAGTATTTTGTTGATAAGAGCACAACAAATTAAAAAAGTGTTGCTCTTACGATATCGAGGCCACAGCGGAAAAGGAATTCAGGTTTTGAGTGATGGCTGATGAAATATTTAAGCTTGAATTTGGAATTAGCATCCCAGTTCCCATATGGATTTCTCGAAAAATAAAAGCCCTATGCAATCGAAAGTGGAAGAACTTAGCTTCTCTCTACAATACGATATGCGTTCGCAAACTTTAGCGAGCAGTTCTGGTAGCTTCGTTTCAACTCACCACAGTATTTCGAAAGAAAAAAGTTAATTTTGGCAACTATCTTGAAAGCTCTTTTCTATATTTCGAAAGACTAATTGAAATATCTGCAAACTCGGAGGTCTTAGCGTTATTCTGTTTGTTTTTAGCGATAAGTTTTCTAAAAATTACATTAAAAAAAAATATATATACTTTTCTTTTCAAAACAATAAAATTTAAAAATTAAAAAAATAAACTAAGAAAAACAATTTTACAGAAAAATTAAAAAAATATATATATTAAAAAAATAAGTATCTAAAAAAATAAATAGAATTAAAAAAATTTTTAAAACAAAATCTACAAATTAAAATAAAATTAAAAAAATAACAAAAAAATAATATATTATATATACAAAATAAGAAATGAGTTCCTGAAACAATATCGAGCCCTTACCGCCAAAATAACGCAAGCGCCATTTTTTCAAAATCTTCTTTTTGATGCTGAAATATTCCTAGAGAAAATTTTGAAAAAAATGTCGCTTACGTTATTTTGGCGGTTAGGGCTCGATATGTTTCTTTTTAAAACATACAACCTAAACATTAAATTTTAAAGAAAAAATTGAGTTAATAAAAGAATTGAAAAGGAAAAAAATAAGAAAAAGTATTATTAAAGAGAAAAATAAAGTTAGTCTCTAAAAATTAAATTAAATTTAAAAAATAATTTTCATTTCAAAACAACAGAATCTAAAAATGTTATAAAAAAGCAAAAAATATAAACAAAAAAAAGAAGAATACGTTTATAAAAATTAATTTTAATTTAAAAAAAAATTTTTCATTTTAAAAACAACAAAATCTAAAAATGTAATAAAATAGAAAAATAAGTTAGAATAAACTAAATCTTTCAAACGATCTGACGTCAAACTAACTCTTTTAGTGTAAATTATGGCCATAAACTTGACATTCAATGCTTCGATATACGACTTTTAGGTCCTACTTCCCTCACTCTACTTTTATGTAGTCCCTCTACATGAAAAGAACGTCATCATTTTCACCACCTTATAAACAAACGATTTATGGGTAGAATAGATTCCTGCTGCACTACAGTTTTATCATTCCCCTGTAGGACTAAAACAAATACAAATATATGTATATTTTCCGGTCACATAAAATCTCAAACCACAATACGCCCATTAGCACAATATTAAAGTCACTCAATGCCGGCAACAACAAATAAAGAACATCAAACAGATACCAAATTGTAATAAACAGCGCATACACAATTGAGATTAGAAATACCCAAAAAAAAAACATACGAAAGAAAGAAATCGTTTCAATAAAGCATCGACCACTAAAGGCGCGCTGATATGTACGGATGTAAAGGTGTGTGTACGCGCAATTTAAATATAACAAAAACTTTCAAAAATAAAAATAACTATGTAAATTCAATTGAATAGGCCAACAAATCAGCAAGACACGAGACGAGGCGATACGAGCAGACAAATTGAATTAGCCACAATTTGCAATGCTAAATTGACTTTTATTGTAGAGTGATTTAAATTTAATTTAGCTCAATTTTGTATGCTCCTTTTGCTTTGCGATCGCAGCCATTTGTACATACATACACACAAGCTACGTACATACAAATAAATTCTTTTTTATATCTACTAAGTTCCCACCGCAATTAACCATAAATTACAACTGCACAAAATCGATTTTCGCATTCGAAACGCTGCTATTATTGGCAATCGGAGATTTCGAAAATGCCATTGTTGTGAGCGCAATCAAAATCAAAGGGTAGAAAAAAATAGTCAAAATTGCATAGTGACTTAGTGGGCATGGTGCCAGCAGTCAATTGCCAACACACGCAGCAAGGAGTTTAGGCGGAAATTCAGCGGAAATTCAGTGAAATAAGTTGGGTTTATCTGCTTATCTCTTTTCTTCTGGAACCTTTCGTATATATGTCTGATCTGAAGATCAGCGTTTAGTACATGAAATTGAACTGGCTAAACAGGTAGCGAAAATTCTGAACTCTAAATTATGAGTTCATAGAGGTGCACCTGATCTTTTCATCTGAGTTTTGTCTCTTTTCAAAGTCGATTCGAAAAGTTGTTCGTGCTCCCCAAGATCAAGTTGACCCAAACTTTGGTAAATTGTTTTCAGTTTTTCCAATAACTATCTGTGAAAAAATTTTAAACTCGACTGCCTAAAAGGGAACGTAGAGGCTGGTCGACCAAGCGATTGTTACAGTGGAATTAAAATAGGATCTCTCTCACTGTCTCGCTCAAATCAATATATGTAGCAGCAGAACAGAGGTCTCTTGTTTCCTGAAATGCAATACGTAGAGCAAAGGTAGCACATATAAATACGTTTTATGTTCCTCAGTTGTGTCAGACAACCAAATCTATATGAGCTTCTTTATATACATATTTTTGTGCACCGATGCCCCATAGCATCCAAGGACTACGGTTCTGAACTATGTTGCCAGGGACGCGGTTGTGGACGCGGTGGATGAAGCTACAGACTTGTCTGAACACCACCTACATAGTGAGGTTCAAATACTGCCGCAAGGGATGTTAGAAGACAACTCTTCGAATATATGGACGCGATCCAGACATACATCGATCAACCACTGGATGACGTACCCTATCACCACCAACCGCAGACGCCGAGCTTCAACTACTACGAGAGACCCGCACCCCTCTAGTCCAATTACAGTCCGGATATTGTAGCCGTCTCAACAGCTACCTGTCCAAACTTGACCCCAACTTCCCCAATGGGTGCCCAGTATATTTCAGCTCAATCA